CCTCAAACTACGGCTCGTGGGCCGGATCTGGCCCGCCAGTGTCCTGAACCAGGCCCAAGCACTCAGGGCCACCCAATGGGCCCTATATCTTCAGGGGCCCGGTCAGCGCTGCAGCCGTGCAGTTGCGCAACTGGGCCCCAAAAAAAATTTGCACCCACAAAGTAGTGCTTGGAGGAGTGGCCTTCACTTCCTCCCAGCTCCCTCCACGTGGGAGGGAAGAAAGACAGGCCGCGGGAGCCACGCCAAATCCAATCAACCACAGCCACCCTCCTGCAAAAAAAGTAAGAAAAAATAGCTGTGTGTGTGTGCGTGTATGTATGTATGTATGTATGTGTATGTATGTATGTCTGTTTGTGTGTATGTATGTCAATATGTATGTTTGTGTGTGTTTGTGTATGTATGTCTGTCTCTGTGTATGTATTTCAGTATGTCTGTGTGTGTGTATTTTTGTATGTATGTGTTTGTATGTCTGTCTGTGTGTATGTATTTCAGTATGTATGCATGTCTGTATGTTGTTGTATGTATGTATTTGTATGTATGTATTTCAGTATGTCAGTATGTATGTCTGTGTGTACAGCGTCAGTATGTATGTCAGTATCTGTCTGTCTGTGTGTATGAGTGTATGTATGTCAGTATGTGTTTGTGTGTGTATTTCAGTGTGTGTCTATCTGTATGTATGCATGTCAGTATGTATGTGTTTGTATGTATGTATGTATGTCAGTATGTATGTCTGTGTGTGTGTGTGTGTATGTATGTCAGTATGTGTTTGTATGTCTGTGTGTGTATGTATGTCAGTATGTATGTGTTTGTATGTATGTGTATGTCTGTATGTATGTATGCATTTCTGTAGGTATGTGTATGTGTGTGTATGTCAGTATGTATGTCAATATGTGTATGTCTGTCTGTATGTATTTCTGTATGCATGTGTATGTCAGTGTGTATGTATGTATGTGTATGTGTATGTCAGTATGTATATGTATGTATGTATGTATGTTAGTGTGTATGTCAATATGTATATGTATGTATGTCTGTGTGTGTGTGTGTATGTGAACTGGCCCCCTGTTTAAAAAGTTTGAGGACCCCTGGTGTATAGGGTGATTGGGGGATATCACCTAAACGTCAGGATTTGGGTGTAGTCCAGGGTTCAGTCTGGAAGCCCAGTTAGGAGGAGCAAGATCGGTGTGGAGCATGGTGTAATCTCAGTCGAATCCATCCTGGAGGGAGGGAGCAGGTCTCGGTGATCTAGTTCTGTAGAGGAAACTGTGGGTCTTGCGACTTTTCATCAGTGTCGGGACGTTGATTGAGGAGTCTATAGCAGGTTGATCAGCACAGCGCCAGAGTTGGATCTTCATCTGTGGCATTGGGATCCAATGCATCTAGTCTCCTCTTCTTCGGAATCTGCTGGCATCGTTGCCTTTGTGGAAGTCTGGGTGCGTTAGGCGGTTGGATTGGTCCATACCAATCCTGGATCTGGAGTTCCAGCAGGTTCAGAGCTCGTAGGAAGACAGGTACATCTGCTAGTGTATGGATGGTGTGAAGAGCGCCTCTGAAGGAGACTAATAGCGCAAAGGGGAAACCACATCGATATCGTAGGTTCCGTGTGCGCAACTAGTCAGTGACCGGCTTCAGGGGCCGACGGCTGGTAAGGTGAGCCAGGAGAGGTCGGGATAGATAGCTATAGGAGAGTTGTTCCTGGGATTGGCGCAGGGACTCAAGGATTTTATTTTTGCATTCATAGTAATGCAATCTGCATACTACATCTCTTGGGTTGTCTGACGGGGGTCCCCATGGTCGGAGGGCTCTGTGGGCCCTATCAAACAGCATTGGTGTGTCTACTGGCTTATTCAGCACCAAGTTGAAGAGCTCCCGTAATATTGATGGCAGATTTTCCTGGCAGGCCCTTGATCCTCAGGTTATTTTGCCTACCCCTGTTGTCCAGGTTGTCGAGGGAGCGTTGTAGGCCAGAGAGGTGAGAAGTTTGGGCGTCTACAGAGTCGTGTAATGCCCGGAGCTAGGCCTGAGTGGTGTCTGTCATCGTCTAGGGAGCTGATTCTACTTTTCACTGCCTTGATGTCAGCCCCTATGGTATCCAGTTTGGCCTAAAATGAGGTCTCGAGCTTGTTCAGCATAAATGCCATATCGTGTAGATGTGTAGATGGTAGTGCACGCAACAGGTCTCTGATGCCTGGGTCAGCAGCTGTATTGAAGGCTTCAGAACCTGACGGGCTTGATGGAGAGGAGCATTGGGGCGGCGAGTCTTGCGCCATATTGGGGCCTACATGCTCAGATTGGAGCTCTGTTGTGTCACTAAAGTATTTTGTTAGTACCCCTGATTTCCCTGCAGGTATTTTGCTCAAGGGTTGGTGCCCTGCATTAGACCTTTTTGGGTGTCCCATAGTCGGTGTCTGTGCTCGATGTCTGTGGATTGGTCACTCGTAGTGCCAGAGCTCAGCAAGAAACACATCCATGCGGCTCATCAGTTGGCTCCGCCCCCCCCCCCCATTGCCTTTTTCCATTCAGACCAATTGTGTCGTAAGAAGACACCACTGGCTGATGGTATGCGGATAACAAGCTTGCATCTCTTACTTTCAAATACATGAATAAGAACATCAATGATAGAGAGAATAGCAACCAATTTCCAAAAGCGGGGAATAGCTGTGGTAGATGAAAGATGGATAAAGACCCCCTATCCCCAGAGGTGGGAAACTCTTGGGATGAGTGGTAGGAACAGGGGCAAAGGGACTGGAGTTCCGTTTCCGTCAGGAGACCCCTGGGAGGGGACCCTGAATGGCTGGAACAGAGGACAAAGGGACTGGGATTCCGGATCTGTTATACGACCCCTTGGAGGGGGAGAACTCTGGGAGGGGACATTGTCTTTCTGTGTGATCCACCCCTTGCATGAGGAAAAGTATAAAGCCGAGTGTGTGTAATAATAATAATGTGTTGTTGTACCCCCAGGATTGTGTGTCGTCCGGTTACTGGGTGGGAAATGGGTCTTTCTGTATTATAACAGACTCCCTTCTAGGGGAGGACGTGGCTGAACCGGGACAACTAGCCGGGTTGCTAGCAGGCCTGCTACAATGAGATCAGGCGAAAGTTAGAACACACATTCGATGTCTTGCCTGGCTTGGGTAATGTAATTATTTGCACACACAAAGCCTTCTCCGGCACTCTTCCTGATTTCCAGTAATAATTAAATTATTGAGTTAAATGGGGAGTGAGAATACCAGAGAAAGATCTATAATACGCCATAGTAAACCCGTCAGGTCCCAGAGCCTTACCTAGTGGAATCATGGCAATAGTATCTATTATTTCTTTAGAGGTAATGGGGAATTTAGAGTTTCCAATTTCTCAGTAGGAATTTTCTTGAAAGGAACCTTGTCCAGAAAAGAGCGTATTGAATCGAATGTGGGTTGAAAAGCATTCAGGGCCGGACTGGGGATACAAAGCAGCCCTGGAAAAAAAAATTTGTGCCAGCCCCATAAGTCACTGCGCCATATATTGTCGCGTGTAATATGTAAGGCTATGTCTTGCCAGGACAGATGATTGAGTAATTATATATATATATATATTATATATATATATATATATTGCTTTTCTATTATAAAATATTGGTCCTTTCAGGGTAAAACGTTTAATTATACAGTAAGCATATGCACATGCAGACACAGGCAATTTCACTGACATTTCAGTGACACACACAAGCTCATTGATACACAGCCTCATAGACAAACAATCTTACAGATATACATCAGCTCATTGACATAAAAACACAAGCTCACTCACTAGCAGGCACACGCATGCAAGCAAGCTCACTCACTAGCAGACGCACACACACAGCTTAATGTGGTGGTACTGGTGTCTATAGCATGTCCCTACAGGCTTTTCAACGTAAACACTGACTTTTCAGACAAAAGGCAGTGTTTACATTGCTTCAAAGTGACACTGCTAGTGACAGTCACTCAGACGGTCACTAGAGGTGCTTCCTGTGTTAGTGCCCTCGCGCGCTGCTGAATGAGACTGGCGCCGGAATATGACGTCATATTCCGGCGCCAGTCTCATTCAGCTGCGTGCTGGGGAGCAGAGCCAGCGCAGCTCGCGCAGCTCCCTCAGCGGCCGCCAGGACAAGTCCGCCAGCGGCCGCCAAAAGACCTCCCAGCGGCCAGGGGAGGGCTGGCAGCCTTAGGCCTGGGGGGCAAAACCAGTCAAGTAGACTGGTGCACCTGCCCAGGATCAGAGCCGGTGCAAGGATTTTTGCCGCCCTAGACAAAATAAAAATTTGCTGCCCCCACATGTCACATCACAATGCCCCACCCATATGAACTAACGCCAGTGCTGCACACAGTGTGTGTTTACATTAAAAAGCCTGCAGGGACCAGCTATAGACACCAGAACCGCTTCATTAAGCTATAGTGTCCCTTTAATGTGAGGTACATTATAGATTAGTGTCACTAATAATATACTAGATTGCCTACTTACAAGCAGATGAGGATGATGATGATGGGCTGCAGTTTGGCTCCACTGGTCTGGTGTAGAACAGGATCTCTGGAGGCTGTTTGCAACTGTGGTCACAAAATTCAATGTTCTGGGAGAATTGGAAGCAGCTCCTTTTTTTGGGGTCTGGGCCCCAGGGCCTGACGGTGAGTATGCCCATAAGGCCCACTCATAAGTTCCACCCACCCATGAGTTCGCTCACAGGGAGTGGAGTGTGTAGGGGATGTGTTATGTGTTATTGTAGAGGATCTAATATGTCTGCTTATGGTATGTAGTGTTTAGGGTTACCAGTTTGTGCAGGTGATGCAGTGTGTTTGTGTGTAGTGGAAGCAGTGTGTATTTGTGTATAAGGGATGTATTATGTGTTTCTGGTTGTGTGTAAGGGATGCATTGTGTGAATCTGTGTTTGTATGCATAAAGGATGCAAGGTGTGTGTCTGTATGTGTGTGCATGAGAT